GGTGACGAGAAGGTTTGGAAACCCTTTATTTACCATGCAGAGTGGGGTTTTTAACTGAAATAGGGAGCATCTTCAGGACTGAAAAGGAGCTGCTTTTGTACATCTCAAGCAATCAATCTTTAATATATTGTAGAATCAGCCCTACAGTGATGTTTGTCCCTGCCAGAACCCCAACTCTCATCAATGCATTACTGAGCAGGTATTGGGGCAGGGGGGGTACGTCCACTTGGCTTGCCCTAGAGGCTAGGTCAATAACAAATCCTGATCAATACTTTAAGGTGCTTATGTGTGTTTGGGTGGCACTGATTTGCGATGTGATTTGGGGCAAACCACTTAACCAGTTTGCCTTACTATTGTTACCTGTCAAATAATACTTAACTCGAAGCCTGTTGGGAAGCTTGCTTTGATAATAGTTACAGTGGACTTTGAGAGCTTAGATAGAAGCCTTACAGCAAACATTACTGAGTGGTTTTTAGTATTATATTATTAAAACAAACAAACAAAAAGCACTGTGGTACAGAAGCAGCTTAATCCCCTACATGCAACAGAGGGCTGCAACCAGGTTACTTTACTGTATGGATTATGGTTTCCTGCACCGCCAGACTCAACTATAAAACTAGATTCTCTGCATGCTCCCTTTGCATCTTCATTTATGAAACTAATCACACAATTACCTGCAGGCATGTGTTAAATATGACACTGGTCTCAGCAAAATAATGGGCCAATTGCAAACAATGAATAAAGAGAGGCAGCTCCATTTATAACTGCTGTTTCAACAGAGCTGTGTTGTAATCAAAGTGATCTGAGGGTGACTCATTAATTAATTGATGTTCTTTTTTATTATGTGCTATTGAGTTAATGAGTAATTTGTGCTAGATAACTCTCCGAACACATTGATTATGTGAGATATTTTCTGAGGCTTTCATACCAATGACATGCTGAATAGGGGGAAGATGGTATTTGCTTATGTATACTCATTATTAGCAGGTTCAGGATGAATATAAATCAGCAGAAGGGCATTTTAAAAGGTATTAGATACATGCAACCCTTACTTTAAGGCTTTAAACAGATATGCCTTGGCTTTAATGCCTTAAACAGTATTAAAATCACTTCCTTTATAATACTTCTATCACCCACAATTGGCAGCTTCTAGAAAAGGTGCCTACACAAAAGGTTTTTGCTAGGAGCATGTTTGTGCTAATGGCCTATTACCCCACGTATATTGTGTTTTGGTTTCTTTTGCAGTGTACTGAAGTGAACAATAAACAGGTTTGGTCTGTATCATTGGGGTGAAGGGAGAGAAATGTATTTAAGTGAATATGTAATTGGCTTTTTATCTAAAGTGGTATTTAAAAAGAATAAAAACACTGCTTGTATATACAGTACACACTTTGCTTTCTGGAGTTTGAGTTGTTAAATCTTATGCTTTATTGAAACCACAACATCTCCAATGCCAGTTTATAGGATTTGGAAGGATTTTTTTATTCATTAAACAACAAAATGGCTAAATTGATAATTTAGTCTGACAACAGCAGCACAGTTGAAGCTTTCAGAAGAATCAGTTAAATGTATAAAATTATACCCAGCAATCACTACAGACCTTCATTTTTTGACAAGATTTGTTCTTGGTACAGATGACTGTAAACTACCTACTGCTGAGAAAATTATAAGAAGCTGCTGCATATTATGTTGAAAAAGCCTTTAAAATACTTTGTCTGTACAAGCTAAACCTTACCAGTCCCCATTGTTTTTTCATAATCTTCCTTCTCGCTGACCACTTACTTTTACTTCTATTTTCCTTACAGCAATTAAGCACATTGACGGGGTATGTGTGTATGTTTTTCTGAGGATAAGTTTTTAAGCATTTAGGGAGGAAAAACGTGCGTGAAAGAAACCAGAAAATGTATTAAGCAAGATGAAAGTGTAATTATAGAAGTCAACTTTCAGCCTCAGTCACTGCTTCTCCAGAGCCCAGGCAGTTTTGATTCAGCTCCAGTAGCAGCAGATAAGAGACACTGCATGTTTGGCTAGCAGTTGGTAGAGGGTCTTTCTACAATTGAAAAGTCATGATGTGATTGTTTGCACGTCACCAGGTGGGCTAGAAAACAGCAATGCAAGAACTGTGTTTTAGTTGTTGCTTAAGATGTCAGTTTACTTTGATTTAGGATTCATAGGGAGAGGATATAGTAAAAAAAGATGATGCTGGTGAAAGTGGTTTTGGCTGACAGATAAGACCAAGTTGAACAATGGTCATTAGTGGAACATTTCCTCATAAGCAGACAGAACACCATCACAAGCAGCAATGGAAACAAAAAACAAGGGGAAATGATTATAAAGAAAATGAAGAAGTAGGTTCAGGCTTCAGTCAAATACATCAATAAAGCTCCCAAGGAACGCTCAGAACATTGCCTTTCATACTTTAGGATTATTAAATGTTTGTTACATATTTTAATTTCCAATTTATTTTAACTATGCAAAATGGAATACTGCACACTTCTATGTATTCCAGGTTTTTTTCCTTGAGCCTACTCCCCAGTTCATGCTAATTACTTGTGTATCCTATATGCATTACTTTTATAAAGGTGTGAGATGCATAAATATCCCAGAGCTCTCACACACATACATATATGTGAGCCACTTTTCCTTCACTTATGCTCCTCAAGCCATACTCTTCATTTATTCTTCATACACAGCTGAATAGTGGCATGTTGTGGTATCAGGAGACTGCTATTAAATTTCTAACACTAATAGAAGTTGGTTGCTTTCAATTCTACTGCAAAAGTCTTCACTGGCTTATTAACTGTTCTCAGTTTGTTTCTCCCTCGTTTCTATGGCTGACTTGAGTTTATGAAAGCAACCGTCTACTGGACATTTTAAAAATGTTCTCTTTTTCCCAGATTAAGCTAACGCTACTAGTAATATTTTGCTTATATAGCTCTTGTCACCTGAAGAGCTGAATATGCTTTACAAAAGCAGTGCAAGTATTATCCCCATTTGACAGATGGGGGCACATGAGGCACCAAGAAGCTAAGTGACTTGACTCGGGTCACAGCAAGTCAAGGGCAGGAAGAAAAGTGTTCTTCGAGACATACTGTCCAGCTACGATTTGAATTGTGAGGGAACTTTGTGTGTGCTCATGTCCAAGGCCTCCTCTTAGCTAATAAAAGGCCTGTGGCATGACTAGCTCTTCTAGTTTCTCACCAAAAGATACAATGCAGGTTTGGAGGGGGCGGGGGGGGTGATGAAATGAAGAACTAAAGACAGAATGATTAATTATTTTTCCTAAAAGGACAAAACACTTATTGCACTGGAGAGAATATATAAATATAAATGATTGCCTAATATTACTTTCTGTGTAAGCAACTGCTATAGTGACTGCAGGGGGGTTGTGGGGCCAGATGGGAGTGGGAAAGTGATCGTGTGGTCACAAATGGGAGGTCAGGTGGTCCACAAGAAAAAAATTCTCAGTTATGATGTAGACCTGCCCTGGAATTTTCTCCTTTGCTCCCTAATGAACTAGAAAGACAACAATGACCATTAGTGTTCTTCAGGCTATAGATCACTGAAAGGAAAATTTAGGGAGCAATCTTATTTGTAAACTGAGTTTGTGTCCAAACAAAAGCCATATTATTATAATGCACACTCTCTCTCAGACTGCCAGGTTTGAAACTTCAGATGTCAGAGTTAAAAATCCATCTCTAAATCTATACGCTGTGCAGTCTACTCAGAGCTGCAAATAGAGGAATTACCTACTGTGCTATAAAGCTTCCTTCCTCATTCCCAGGAAGAACACTGTGGAAGCTGCAGAACGGAGAGGGAGTGGGAAGAGCAAAGGACATAATTTACACTGTGCACAAGTAAACTATATTAATGTGCCCTTTGCTTTGTGTGTATGACATTCTTAAGTGTAAAAGGCAGCATATGAGACAGTACTTTATAAATACTGGCTTCTTTTCCAGTGAGCTATAGTGCCGGAAAGAAAAGAATATATTTAGCCAATTTGTTAAATCCCATCCTCCGAGTAGATGTAATATAATTAAACTCTGTCTGGACTACGATCACCTATGGACCACTGACGAAACAATCTTATGGCTTTAAAGTGTAGGTCCAGATTGTCCTGTTACTGACAATGGTTTTCCCTCCCACTGTCAGCAAGCATGTGAAGATGATTCATTTGCCATTACTGATGGGACAAACCTGTTTGAGGCTGTCATGAACAGCATAAGCGGCACCTGGTAGAATGTGGCATCTCCTGCTTTCTATAAGGATATTCAAATGTTTTGTCCCAGCAACAAATGCATTCGATTTTTTTTTTCAGTACAGTACCTGTTAGGATTGGTTGCCGGTGACAAGTCACTTTCAAAATATCAGCTCTCTCTAATGTAAGAAGACCCTATAAGTGAAGCTGCTCTTAGTGCTTTCTAAACTCGCTGTTTTCCAAAGAACTATTTAAGACACAGCCAACTCTCCATGGAAGTTTAGGGTTAAGTCTTGAGGCTAAAAACAAACTAAAGCAATCCCAAATTCTAAGAATTGTGATTTTAAAAAAAGATCTCTGCACAAGAGCAGGTATCACTTTTTTCCAAATTAAAACAACCTCAGAAAATATATTTATAAACATATATTACAAGATACCCAAAGGCACTGGGTTCCATTACGGCCTAATTTCCAGCTTAATTAAAAATTGAACTAATTTTGAATGCCAAAGGAGCTAAAAGCAGCACCCAAAAAGCATTAGTTTTTGCACCTTTTAAAACATGTCCATAAACAGCCAAACTTATTTCTCAACATTTTTGTAGGAAAATAAAAGTGCTCTTTGAGGAAACTTATGCAATTAAACAGGTGAGGCTTAACCCCTGAAAAATAGAGGCTTATACAGAAGTGCTGATAGACCCTTAACCATAGTATCATTAGCAGTGGTTCCTGCTAGAATTATTATTATTTTAAATAGTTTTAATTCAAATAGTATTTTTAAGCTCTAAGTGTAGCATAATGTTGGGATTTGCTCTTTAATTTTTTTTCTTTTTTTACTAGAAAGATACAGCTCATTTAAAATAGCTGGTAAATACAGAAAGCATAAATATACAGTAAGTTTAGACACTGATTGTACTAAATGCAACAATACAAAGAAGCAAACAGGAACACAAATGGTAACACAATAAAACTGTATTACATTTGTGCTTCAAATATTACAATACATTATATACAATAGTCCAAAATAAACATCTCATGCCAAGTGACACAAAAAGAAAAAAAAACAATAGCAAGCAAAAAATCCAGCAGTATATACAGTACCTTTTTAATAAACATTCAACTCTGAACTGGAGCAATTTTCACTACATACATACGCAGTCCGCCTTTTATTCCACGCAACCATCCTGTTTCTCTATATCTACGCTATTCAGTAGGTTCCTGTGTCATTTCTTATATACATGTTGGGCAAAAAAGATAAAAGAACATAGTGCTTTATATTCTTAACGATGTGGCATCAGATCAGCGAACCTGGGGTGCATAACCTTCTTTCATTAAGCCTTCCTCATAGTCTGTCTGGCACAGAATCATGTTGTTCTTTAGGAAAAATTTGTCTCCAACGCAAAATCTGAAAAAAAAGAGTGAGAGACAGGAAAAGGTTGTATTTAGAATAAACTGTTGTGATATTAAAGCCAAAGGCTGTACCACAGGCAGGCACAATTGTGTTGTAGGAACAATGCAGCTTGCATCTGTTGTCTGTGTCGTAGTGTTTTGGAAAAAAAAATACGGAAAAGCCCCACTATGAAATTGCTGTTATCAGAATGTATTGCATGCCTTCCACAAAATTCAGTGCACACAAGTGATTTTACTCCCCTAGCCAAGGACTTCATCCAAAATCCACTGAAGACCATGGGAGTCTTGGATAGCAGCCACATAGATAAAACAGAATAATATCTAAGTCCAGTGAGTTGAATGAAAAGCAATTGTAGTTCTGCCACACAAATCAGAGGGGCAAAAAGTGATCATAGGCTTCTGAACGCTTAATTATTTAACATTATTTATACATATTATACAAATAATAGCATTTATGTCTCATAAAATAATACACGTTATAAAGATCAAACACTGTATACCAGTTGACTGTTCTATCACTCCATCTGTGTTTGGATGGGGGGAGTGGGTACACACGTGCACACACACACACACACACACACACACACACACACACGTGTGTGTATTTATGTACATGCACACATACAATACAGATTTTCCTGGAGGAATCAACCATAAATTTAGTTACTAAAAAATAATTTCTTCCCATTTTGTAATATATCAGGACGCATATCCTAGTTTTCTAATAAGTGTCTCAGAATCATTTTACTGCTAATAAAATGACACTATTATTTTATTTGATTTTTCTCAGATGGATGGAAAAAGCATGGTGACACTGGTGGGCTGTCAAGTTTCAGACTCAGTTAAAACAACGTCTTCAAGCTAAGCAATCCAAGTTTGTGTGCCTATCAGATTGTTAATAGACCACATTTTATATACAAAGTGAAGTGTTTTTTAAAGGCCCCAGGCAACAACTCAGAGGAGCCCAGTGTACAGAAAAAAGTTCCGCTAATGACTGACTGGGCATCCAGGTCATATCCCTTTTGTTTATGGCAAACTCTCCAGGAATAAAATGTGTTGGGAGCCACTGCTCACGCTGTTGCAATTAAATAAAGTAACCTAAACGAACCTGTTAGCACTGATGTGGATAAAGGAAATCAGTTTCCACCACCTAATTATGCATCTTGTGATATAAAGTATTGTTTAATGTTTAACAGATTATAATGTTCTTTTTTGTATAATTTCCAAACAGTGACATCTTGAACACAGTTAGGGTCAGATATAAACGCGTGTGTTGTTTATGGTAGATTTAACTATAGAGTAGCTATGGGAATAGCTGTATATGTATTTAATTGTAACAATTTAACCTTCAAATAGTGGTGTCTGCTGTAGCTGACCCAGTAAAACTACATATAATTACACAAGTTGACCCACATGACCTTTGATAGTGGTCTCTCTTTATCAGATAGTCAATTTCTAATGATGGTCAAGCAGAAATTTTAGTGAATTGTCACAGATTAAATTGTGTATTGAAAGCAGCCCTTTAATGTTTTGTGAAGTTGGAGTTTTAAATGAGTAGCAGTTGGACTGATTTACATTTGTAAAGACTGGAATACTAGACAAACAGTGAACCCATTTATTTTCCAACTGGGTAGCTTTGGAAATTTATCCTTATGCTAGCTAAATAGATAGAGGGAAAATAGCGTAATAAAAAAGTGGATTGAAAAGAATTAGCTTTGCTTTTAAAAGAAAATTGGTTTATTTATTTGTGATTCTTTTTCTTTGGGATTACTGCCTGCTGATGATGATGATTGAAAATACAGATTATGGAATGGTCCTCAAATCTTCAAGTTATTTATGGTCAAAACTATTTAAATGATTTACAGTTCTTCCTGCAACTCTACTATATTTAATTCAAGTGCCAGCAGAATGTTTTGAGTAGATCAGTTGAAAAGGAGAGTTGTTGAAATGAATGACTGTAGTCTCTTGTCAGGTTACTCCAGTTTCCCAAAGCATTCCCACTGCCCCCACACCCTTCTAAAACTTAATTACACTCAGCAGTGAACTTTTTGCTTTAGAACTAGATGTGACTGCAGCTCTTCATGTTATATAGGGGATAATGTCTGATATTGGCATATACGTGGGTTTCTAAAGAAAAGAACGTTTTAATGGGGGGGGGGGGAATTAATCTACATTTGCCAAGAGATGAGTATTTATGCTGTTGATAAAATAAATAAGGTTATGAACAAAATATCCTACTTAACAAGTCCCTGGCTGTCCAAATAGCTGTTGATGGACATAGGAGCCAGAACCTCAGTACACAAGTGCCTACCACTTGAAGGGTGTAAGCAGCAAGCAGTCATTCTCTATGGGTCAGCCACTAGAAGGAGATATGGTCACATTTGCTTGGCTCACAGAATGCACTAACACAAAACCATCCAGGTGTATTTCTTTGTGGTCCAATGTAATACGGAGGTTACAATAATAATTCAGTTAAAATATTTACTAGAAAGAAAACCCATTGCTAAGCGCAGCTTACTTAAATTGCACCGTTTGCACATTCCTTTTCCTTGTAGCTTTTGCTGTTTCCTTCCAAGCTGACAAAATCCCCTTGCTATTCTATTTTGTCTTTCAGCCCCAAAGGCACAGGAAGCATAACTTGCAAAGAGTGCACAGCTGTGTTCTAGGAGGAAGTTAGTACACGCTTTCTGAATGCTCTAGACCAGAGGTGGCCAACCTGTGGCATGTGTGCCACAAGTAGCATGGGCAGCCTCTGTGGGTGGCATGAGGCAGAGTGGGGAAGGGACAGGCAGCAAATAGGGATGGGTGCATAAAGTAGAGCAGATCAGGAGGGTAAAGGGGATCATGGTGGCATTTGGGGAATGTGTGGGGCTAATTTGTGGCATGCCTGCCAAAAAGGTTGCGCTCCCCCCACTCTAAATACTGATGTGCTCCATTACATTTTCCTTTAGCCATATCAATGAGTTGGACCCAATGACACTCCGTGTCCCACGCTAAATCATGACTAGTTTACTATTTATCCTTTTGGAGAAACTTTTGTTATTTGAGATACTAAATTCAATTCTGTGCTGAGTTGCATGTTCTACAAATTTGGTTATGAACATGTTTGCAAGGGGGTGTGGAAGAGGAGGCTTTGCTTCTCAGAGTTAAATCAGTTAATTTGGTTTTAGTGACAGAGAAGTAAATACTCTACGGAAGCCACATTTACACTCAGTGATACTGTGTTCCAATACTTTAGCAGGGCCAAAGAAAAAGAATCAGTTGATTATATGAAAAATTAAGCTCCTCCCCTAATTCTAAACTTCTGACCCTAAAAAATAGATTTATAATCTTCTAGTTTAGGTCAGGAGTCAAGTGCCAAAATTCTTGTGAAATTTTCTAGACCAGTTTTGCAGACTGATTTATTGCTGAGGGAATAATTAGTTATTCCCTCCTACATCCCTGAAATGTGGCTCAGAAACAGTAGAATCTGGGACACAATATCTCAGTCAAGCATGGAAGTAGAAGGGTTTCTATATTAAAGGACAAGTAGGCTGGAAGTGTAAAATGAGGCAAAGTTGCTACCATTTGGCTGGTGTCTTACAGTGTTTTCTTTTTTGAATCCTTGTGCAATTCATTTAATAAGAATGCAAAGTGGAACAGGGAAATTATACAGTAGGCAGCTTTAACAGGCCAGATTAGACTTACTGGCCATAAATTGATGATAATACTTCAGACTTGTCTATAACTTTAGTGGGATGACCATTCTAATTAACCTCTATCTCAGAACTCTTGTCATATTTTAAAATGGTAGAAGGAAGGCTATTTATATTATGAAATGACCTCTGCTATCCACACTTTGGTTGGAAAGAGGTGTGCTGGGGTATCGCACAAACTATAAACCTATGTTCCAAGAAATGGTCATTACATTTAGCACAGAGTGATTTTATAGTTCTCTTCCATCTTTCCTGTAGCAGCCATTAAAGGTTGCATAATACAGTGCTGGGGTTATCTGAAGAGAAAGGGAGAAACACTGCTTGAAACAAAGATGGCTTGTGTGGAAAGCTCCTCCTATAGTAGTAATCTAGTGGCTTTGATATGGTGAGAAGTAGGAAACAAGATACAGATCTTGTTACAGGATCCTGTCAAAGGCTGTTTTCTAGCATATCTAATTTGTGACTGGGGTTATATGGCTTCAGCGATAAATGATACAATATATGCTAAGACCTATTCAAATATTAACTCGGTGCAGCCCAAGAAGATGCATTTCATTTTGGTATGCTTTTTTAAACAATCAAAAGTTTGGTTGGTTTGAAAAAAAAAAGGTGCTTAAACTGTAGTCTCCATAAAAATAATTATAGCTAATGTATACAATCACCTCTGAGATCCTGGGTACTTAAACGATGCATTACGAATCTAATGCTTTAGTTAGAAACAGACATAATTTTATATTGAGGATAATATTACTTATGTTCAATACAAAAAAAAAGCAACTTGGTAGTGCTGTAATGTAGGCCTCTGAGCTGTCTGTGATACCACATGAAAGTGTCTACTGATATAGAGAGAGAATAACTTGAATGAAAGTGAGCCACATAAGCTAATGGCAGCATGTTAACAAAAAGGTATGCTCCAAAAGGAGCAAAATGAAGGAAGGCTAGGCTTAATGTCATTTGGGGATGTGTCATGGGAGTGGTAAAGTATATTTCAAACTGCTCTACTAAAGTAGACAGAAATTATCAAGGAAGTAACGAAGTGAGATGGAGTCTATTTTGTCAGGCTACTTAATAGAGACGAGAGAAGAAAGGGAGATAGAAACTTCATGGAGTACGAGACCTGAATGAGGGAGATCAGCAGGCCTAGCCCAGAATGTCAAGCACAGATATGCCTCAAACCAGAATGCAAAGTTTTCAACTTAAATATTACCTGTCACACATACGTACTACTGGTCAATGTTTGGGGAGCATTATTCTGTGGTATGGAACTTCATAAGTTTATTTTATTTTTGCTTCTATTTCT